AAGTACCAATAACATCTACGATCAATTATCTTCTATTCTTGCATAACATTTAAAATGATCTAAAATCAATATAAGTTTTAATCACTAAATATTGTTATTCAAATGATTCTGTGCTATGAACTACTGAAATAATAAGTGGACAATATAGTATAACAGTTCATAACATTGGTCAATGCTTTCGAGATATCATCTAAACTAAATTATATGGTTTTAATGGGCTTCTATCAACTAATATATATCTTATGCTTAGCTCATATTCTTCGGTAAAATACATATCCCGTACATTAAGGAAATTAACACTGTGAATACATCTTTTTAAAAAAAAATTAACAATTGAAAACTCTGAACGAAAAGAAGATTCATATTTATGAAGAAAAAAAGAATTATTCACATGAATTAAAACATTTTTAAACTTATAAAATGACCTTAATTTTAATACTTGAGATCATGAGTTGATTGAAGCTAGACCATCATGGAAAACATGGAAGCACTAGACGGCCGTTTCGCCCTACTGTGGGATTCCTCAGCAGTGCGAATCCACGATCCCGCCTCGTTAGATTCGGACCCAGGACCTATCAGTCTCGCGTCAGAGCGCCTAACCACTAGACCACTGAGCCGGCATCCAACGGTGTTAACATTCAACTTCAACTATATGACTTTGTCCTATAAATATGTGAATCAAACTAATAAATTTGAAAACATAAACTTACTTAAAATGTGACTAACTAATAAATGACTATCTGAATTTCCCTTCTTCCATTTCTAAATATTTCAAACTCGTAATTTAAACATCTATTTAGTCCCCTACTTTAATGTAACAGTACTCATGAAATAGCAGAAGAATGGAAATCAATCAATAAAGTGCTACACGAATTGTGTCTGAACGATGATTACGTACAAAAACCAAATTATTGTGATAAAAGTCTCTCAAGCTTTCTAAAATTGGTACAGATAGAGAAATTAATTAAAAAATTATTTACTACTTAATAAAGTGATCCACATATTCACAAAATAGTTTAGCATCAATAGGAATGACAATAAATCCTTTCAAATACACTTATTCACGGTTGTAATTCTTTGTACTTATCTCATTAACCAATTTAATTGATAATCAATTATCAGGCTCAAGTTTTGTTCATTATATAGCAAAGTCTAGTTACTGATACAAAAGATAAATCAAAGATTAATAACTATATTTATGAATAAGTTTAGGTGTCTCATCATCCTCAAATAGAAATCAATAAATAAAGTACTAAATGGTATGACTAGAAATGAATTATAGTAATAGAGATACAGTTAATTTTTAACCTACTTTTTAATCTTCGATAGTTTACTCATTTAACTATCGCCTACTTGTTCATCCCTTTCGTTTGGTTTATTTTCAGTACTTCGTTCATTTTATGAAGGTGGGTGGGGTGTTTCCATAATTATGTAACTTGATAGTTAAAATTTACAGTAACTTGAACTGTATTTCATCGTGTTAACATATTTTACGTCTTGTCTAACAAATAATTTTTTATAGATTTTAAAGTATTAAACAGCAAATATTGTGGAGATTTTTTCAATACGTGTGAGGAAACGAGCTAAAACACTGACATGAAGAGCTTATATTTTTAGGTGGTAAAATGCATTTTTCAAAAGTATACTTCGAATAGTCAATGAAGTTAGAGAAATCATTATACATGCCATCTTATTATTTTCATAAAACTAACTGTAATAAATAAAACTTCACTAACATTTTACACTACTTATAAGTAGGTAAGTTGGGCTTGAAATATTCGACTACAATAATCTATTTGGTAAGTGTAGTCTCATTTTTGTGAAAACACCTAACTTAATTATCATTAGGTACTCAATAGTGAGTATCGGTGAAGTGGCTCTCTAAAAATTTTAGTGAGAACCTGTAATGTATGGAGGTAAAAATATCAGAAATGCATCTGCAAATTATAAATAACTCTGAATGAGGATTGGATTATCTTAAAAATGAACTGAAATTGAAAATTTGAACTGATGCATTTCGTATCAGTGGTCCAAAGGTGTATTGATTCCCATAGGCTCTGAAGGTGTGAACCTCGATTGTGTACAGTGACGTGAGTAGAAACAGAGAAGAAGTCCAAGACTTCAATGACTCTACTAAGTAGTATTGCTTGGCTTTCAAAGCTCTGTAATGATAAACAGCTTTGAAATATTTCATCATTCAGATGTTATTTCTTACCCAGAACAGACTCATCATTTCGCACTACACAGATCTAACGAAATATTCAACAGAACTATATCATCTGAGTATTACAAATCAACAAGTGCATTTTCTGATAGAACAACCTCTGAAAAGTTAGGTGATGAAAGTGTCGCCTCTAAAAGCATGCCTATAACAAAGTTAAATGAAAATAAGGAAGGTGAAGAACCGCGCAGAACACTACTTGAAGTAACCGATTCCAATGGCAGTTCCCCCATAAGCTCTCACTTACTCGACCAGTAATGTTCGAGTGGAGACCCTGTACAAGGTTAGTGCACTTCATTGATACTCCTTTCAATGACAGACACGGTCACAGAGCCTCATGATAAACAGATTTGAATGTCAAGGAACGAAACTATAGTCGGACGTCGAAAAGTATGTCTATGTTCTAGATCCTGCCTACAGGTGAATATTTGGTCTATACATTTACGTCCAGTTCTGAAACCTGACTAGTCATCTCGGGTTTGCCCTTCATAGGCTCTAGTTAGATGTCAAAGCATTGTCGAGGCTAATACTTTAGAAATTATACTGATTCTTCTGTGACTGTCACAAGAGTATCTGTTCTTTTTTATATACTGGGACGATCAGTGATCGAAACGCATAGAATAGGATTACTGCCAGCTCCCAGATTTTAGCTAAAGCTAGATCCACCATCCTTAAGAATCTCAGGGGTTAGTCTATCAGACCCTGCCACTCTCATATGTTATAGATTCCTTATAGCTTTTTAACCCCACTAAAATTTGGAAAAATTAAGTCAATTCACCATTTAAGTACCCTGGAGATATTGAGTAAATGAAGTTAAAATAAGTGGAGAAGCATAACTGAATGGAACAAATCAAACTGTTTTGAAGAATAAAGGATTTTTGCTTCACAGTCGTATATTTATAGTTATTCATTTGAATTACTAGTCGAATTCGAGTAATAAATGCAGAATAATAACAAACAATCTAAACCAAGACGCCTTAATAGTAAAAGTATAATATTGGAAAGAGATTGAGCGATTCTTAAATCGCATGATTTCGAACCTACTAATCAGCTAGTCAGTCTTTATAAATCAAAAGTATTTCGCAATGGAATTAATGAGACCTGTTAGAGTTTAGAGGTTTTAAGAAGTTTATTCGCCTATCCTAATTTTGTAAAAGTCACTACACAACACCATTAATCTGAGGGCAAATTTATTCATCCTAGTGACTTTTTAAAATCGTTTTAATATCTGTAAGTAGTTTTCTAGAAAATTTATCACCGCTTACAAAATCTTTATAAATAAACTGACGAAAGAGTTATTAGGATAAAATTATAGGAGAACCATCGTTGTTACCTTGTCGATATGAGTAATTCATGTGTAAAAATCGTTTGTTATCTTAGTATTCCAACACCACCAGCCAGCTTATATTCAGTGAACAATTAACAAAATGATTTCTTTGCAAGTTTACAATGAACAAAATAAATTAGAATGAAAACTGATTGATTCATTAGTAATGTAAAGTCCATATATATGAAAGTAACTACGTGATACGTTTAACATTATCATTCATAATTTGTGATAGGAAAATTTCCCTGACAATTATAAGCGCTCTCAACACAAAGACATTTCTATCGCACATTCTATATAATTAAAATCTTTCATTTTTTGATTTCGTGAAAAAATTGGGAAGTAGCTTTCTCAACTCCGATTAAATTGTCCCTATACTACACTTTTCCAGAAGGGGTTGTGTGGAGATTTTAGAAATTTTCACTGGTTGAAATCATGAGTCAATTGAAGCTAGACCACCATGAAAAACCTGGAAGCACTGAACGGCTGTTTCGTCCTAGTATGGGACTCCTCAGCAAGAGATACTCCTGGAGTTCTAGTGAGAAGCTGTTACCAGTGGAGTTCAACCAGGTCTGTTGTGAGATATCAGCTCACTGAAGACAATGGTGTACGGTGGCGCAACTTCGTGGATTGGTTGAAGTTAGACATTAACACCGTTGGATGCCGGCTCAGTGGTCTAGTTGGTTAAGCTCCTGGCGCGAGACTGATAGGTCCTGGGTTTGAATCGCGCGAGGAGTGTGGTCGTGGATGAGCACTGCTGAGGAGTCCCACACTAGGAAGGAACGGCCGTCCAGTGCTTCCAGGAATTACACTTTTCCCTTCATGCATATACGTAGTATTTTAACTTGACCAAAATAAACAGTATCACTTAATGACTACCCCAATAGGTATGAGTAAAACTATCGGTACATATTATGAGGTTTCACCTATTTATCCAATCATTTAAATCTTCTTAAATTAAGCAGTTAAATTAGTTAGAACGCTTGCTTACTTTAATAACTATATCAAACTGTTCTGAACAATTGAAAGTTTTAACTTGAAAACAGGTATATTCCGAAACGTAATGTGAGATAAAGTCATATATTTTGTGCAGTTTACATTAAACTAATTTCAAAATATTAAAATAATCATACTTATTCAGATTTCATGAAGATTTGTGAACTACTTAGAAAACAATACAAGCGATAAATATCTTCAAAGATCGACTGAATTTCTTTTCACAAAGATATCGACTGCTCTTTGCCAACATTGAGATTAAAAAGTAAGCAATATAGGTTTTATTCCATATTACACAGAAGATTTAAGAAATACAACTGAGTATAAGTAAAAAAGCTATACAGAACAAAAAATATCAAAGAACTGAATAATAAAATGTTTTATTGTTCCCAAATAATAAACAAACATCAACGGGAAAGACTTCATAAGAATTTTTCTGTTTTTTTTCTCGAGATTTTATGGTGTTGTACTGCCTGATTTAACAGCAGTATCTGGTGTTAACATTGAAGATGCTGAAACCAGCTGACATAAACTCGGTATAGAACGTAAATTACGCATTAATAAACATCGGCCATTTTCATATTCTCTACGTGAAACAAATAAATTCAATTCAAATCTAATAAATTCATTCACTTGTTCTGTAGGTAGAGATGGACTAGTGACTTCACGACGTCTCATACGATGGAACGAACGATTCAGTGCTTCAATACAAGATGTCAACATATTGAGTGAGTTTTCATCTTGTGCCATATTTAAAGATGAGGCCAAATTAACTTTTGAGAAGGCAGGATTATGATTAGAATATTCTGATGAATTGGGACCAGATACTTTTGGATTAACTGGCCTCGAACTACTACCACTACTGATTATAACGTTAGAATTATTTTCAGCTGAATTTTGTGATGCATTATTAAGCATTAAAGGAACAGCTACATCCATTCCTTCATTGTTCACAGCATTTGCAACCTGATTTTGTTGACCTAAAGCATCAGGCACAACATGTTGTTCGACAACTGATGAAAACTGGGAAGGTATCTGTTGTGGTGGTTCACCAAAAAAACTTCGATTCCTTTCACTTCTCAATACAGACATGAGATACTTAATTTAGAAAATAGAGAGATAACAAAGAAACAGAGAAATATTACAATATCATAGGAAATATTTTCATTCATGATAAACAGAATTATTTTGTAAAATTAATTTGAAAAGAATATCAAAATAATATGTAGCATCTATTGTTATAACACTTTGAACCAAACATTTGGAGAACTGTGTGCAGCGGTGGCTTAGTGATTGAAGGACTAAACGTTTTCTCCAACCAGTAGGTGACCGTTTTAAACCCTGATTCGTCTACTTCGATTTAGGAGACTGAGTTGTATCGATAGCCTATGAAAAGAATATATGGATAAACTCTCGGTTTTAGATCAAATGTTCCTTTAAGGCACTTCTCACAGATTGATTAATGTTGAGGTTCAACGTATAGGACTAGGTAATTATGGGAAATCGGTTGACTACGCTGTGAATTGCCACAGACTGATGTGGTCGTGATATGTGTTCCTTCAACTATTCTCCACCTTGATCCATCACCGTTAGACGGGGTAGGAATAGTTTAGAAGAAAACGTCAGTTTATCCACTAAGCAATCATTTATATCGCATTATTGGTGTAGTCTCTACTTCCTAGGACTCGATTTGTCGTTGTGTTTGTTTGAAAATATCTTTGAATTGTAACCTTATCAAGCTTACTAGAAAGATCTATTTACTGCAAGTATATAAGTGCGTGATATCCCAGACTGAATAAAGAAAGCTAATGCTTTTTTTAAACATAAAAAAACACATTGAATAAAATTATCAGATTACACTACTTCATATGTTGGGTAGTTGAAGTTGATCAGTAAGAAGTACTAGGCATTTTAATAAGCTTTGAGATAACTACTCATATCAAATAAGGCATGATATAAAGAGAAAAAAGAGAACAGTTAGGTGGCCCGGGATGTGACTCCAGTTAGATCGCATATATATATATATATATATATATATATATATATATATATATATATATATAGGGAGAGATAAACGAAATGACGTGCACTGGAGATGGTGTGTGAGCCAACTCCATTTAATTAAGCGTGGATCAACATATATAGTCACATAGAAATAAGCTACAAACATGTGGTAAGTAGGATAACATGTACACACATATACGCTCATATAAAAACAGTCAATGTTGATAAGTGAATAATTAACAAAGTCAAAACCTGACTCAAGAAGAATGAATAAACTTACCTATCCAGAAGCTAGAATAAAATATATGGGTTTAACATATCAACCGACATTATAACAGACTTAATTTCCAAATCAGAAATGAATTGATTAAACTTACATATCGTAATGCACCTGATTGATAATCCGCCCAAAAATCCTCAAGTTGATTAAGTCGTGTAAATTGTAAATTACAAATAAATTCACTTGGTGAACGAGTTTTTAATAAATTTGATGCTTGTACAAAAAAATCAATTTGACGTTCAAAAAAATCTTGACGAACTGTTTGAATTCTTCTCTAATTACAGAAGAAGAAGGAAAAAAGGGAGAATAGTAAAATGTATACAATCGATCAATTATTATTGTTTACTGTTTACAGAAAAATTTAATGATTTAAAATATCAAAAGGAGTCTTGTGAAGATTTTAGTAATTTCAATAGTTGAAATCATGAGTCAATTGAAGCTAGACCACTATAGAAAATTTGGAAGCACTGGACGGTCATTTCGTCCTAGCATGGGACTCCTCAGCAGTGCTTATCCACGATCCCCCTGCGAGATATTCGGTCCTGGGCTCGAATGTCGCAAATGGCGGGATCGTGGATGCGCACTGCTGAGAAGTCCCGTACTAGGACGGAACGGCCGTCCAATGCTTCCAGGTTTTCCATGGTGGTCTAGCTTCAATTGACTCATGATTTCAACTATCGAGATTTAAAATATGATTTTATTTTTTTCTTTTGAATAACTAGGATTTTACCCATTTTTGATAAGAACTATAATGATTTATCACAGAAAATACACTTCGATTAAAAACTACCCTTTAAACTTTATTATGCCTGAAATATGGTTTACTTTTATAGTGATTATACGACTCGAGTAAAAAGTCAGTTAGATACCAATTACAATTATTTAGTCTTTTCTATTATCACTAATATTTATTCTGTGAAAATTGTATTTGAAATAATAATTTCAGCGATTGAAATTTATATAATTTCAATGTTTTATCTGGTAAACTTGTTGGGATTTCTTCAAGACTAAACTCATCAAATAAATATATATTTAGTGTTTAACAATGAAATCAAATCTTTACTGAGCTTATTACCTATTGTAAGTAGGATAATATGAATCGGTTATATGCGAATCATATGAAAAGTTCACAATGTAAAGATGAATGAATGATTGTGTGTGTGTATGTAAGTTTGAGTTATTAAAAGTTGATATTCGGTGTAAATTTTTTTTATATCAAGTAAAAATAAAAGTGCAGCTTGAAATTGTTTTTGAATCATCGATGTGCATGTAAAATGAGAATCATCAAATATGTAATTGTAGTGCTAAAATATCCCAGGTCAATTTCTGTCAGAATAACGATGCATGTGGAATAAACAGGTTGGACAGAGATAGGGTCCAATTACTTGTTAATGAGCATTTGCATGTAGTAGTCAGTTGAATATCATCTTTCCTGTTCATGCAGTTCTTATTGGCCCATATATAGAGCGCTTCTGTTGTCGATTTTTCTTTATGTCCCAAAATCTTCCTGTAGTATTTTGGTCCCTTCAAAATTGACCTTGTGTCCTGTTTCTAACTCATGTAACGCTATCACTAACCTATTACCAAGTTTCTTCAGATCAACCGAGGATTTGGGAACATTTTTCAAACATTGTTCGTGTTCCTTCAAATTCACACTCAATTATCTTGAAGTTTTTGCATTGCAATCATGACAGTTGATCTCATAAAAAATGTTCTGTTGTTCTTCCTTTGGAAACCTATCCTTTACCTTCACTAACACTGATCTTATGGTATAACTAGCCCGAAAATACACTCTTATATCATGTTTGTTTAGAATCCTCTTGATTTCTTCCAACGTGTCAATACGGTATCGGATGACCACGGTGAACTTCCAATCTTTCGGCATACATTCTAGTTTAGTAATTGTTATTCCCTAAGCGCATACAAAACTCCATTCATTTCAACTTGTTGGTCTTCCTTATCTGTGATGAAATTATTACTCCCTTAAATTATTTTTAAACTGTGACTTTTGTGCAATACGCATGAGCTGAACCGTAATCTAAGTATCTCTCAGAATGTGTTGATTTCATGAATAGCTTTATTTTCAACTTATTATTATATCTTCGTTCAACCAAGCAATCGAGAAACGCTAGTTTGTAGTCATTAGACTCTATATCCTTTGTTAACTTGATGCTCTCGGAAATGTTGTTTACATTTTCAAACAATTCTTCTGAACCATTGCGACCGTAGCTGCTACCTTGACGTGGTGATCGTGCTTGCCTATCATGATGACCCAACCGAGGTATATTGGCTGGAACATATGTTCCTGCAGGTCCTACCATGCCAGGCAGGTCGATTGAAGAACGGTAAGACTAAAAGCAGCAACTCAAGGTATGAGGGCAAAGTCGTACTGCTGACTGTTTATTTTTATTTATTTTAACACATAGGTATTGGTACAAGGAGGCACCAAATACATATGCGCCACACAAATCTCATTTGATGTGTGTGAGGGTTGTGATACTCCCCGGATGCCCAAACCGAAGCAGGTGGTTTTCTTAGGGGGCCACACCCCGAGCCTTTGACCTGAACGTCTGATCCACAAGGCAGTGGAGCGTCGTGAAGAGATGCAGTCCCATGGTAGCCGGTGACCAACGACTGGTTCATACGCCATTTGTCCCTTCAGGATACTGAAGCCCATATGCACCATTGATTTGAGATCCGGTTATAGCGCCGGACGTTCGCTTTTCGTCCTCTCATTTTCGTACTGTACAGAGGTGTGACGGCAGTAAAGTGTTTCCCTCGGACAACCAGCATCTACAGTGATGATGCTTTAGTAGCCTGATGTGTTCGCTTGTGGTGACGGGATCACCATTTTAGTGGCCCGTGATCTGACTCCAATTTGATCATAATGATTGGTTGCTATCGTCTATCCTCGTATATAATCATTGACTTAAATCGCGTTAGTTAATAACGGAATTAAATAAGTCAAATAACGAGAATGGAGTTTTGAATGCATATATTTCGTATAATTGTTGATTAGACAAACGAACGGAGGAACGACGCGAAGAGAAGAAAGCGAAGCAAAATTGACGAGCGGTGGAGATGGCTGGTAAGCCAACTCTCCCTTTAACAAAGAGTTAATCAATATTTATAAGCCCGCAAAAATAAATTACAGACATGTGATGAGTAACGGGATAAGAAGTGTGCATACGCCTACGCGCTCATACAAAGACAATCAAGACATTGATAAGCGAATAATTAACAAGGTCAGAATGTGACTCAAATAGAATGAATAGAATGAGCTGTCCGAAAGTTAGAATAATAAGGTATTTGGGCTTAACATAATGACAGACACTACACTGCCTTCTCACAAGGAAGGAAGGGGTTAGAAAAGGTTGACCCTAAAAATGTCACACCTCACCTTACCCCATGGATTTCCGTCTCCGGCGGAAAGGCCGTGCGCGACCGGCCTCAAGCAGTTGCCCCTTGGGCTCTGCGGTCACGCACCCAGGCCGTTAAGACCAACACTAATTCGATTTCCTTTTCAGGTTCCTCAAGAAATACCCTTCCACGGTGTGAGCAGCGGGGAAGTGACGTCAGAGCTCATACCCGTAACAGCACATGAGACCAAGTTGGTCACATTCAAATCCTTCCTACACCTCCTAATAACTCTCTTATCTCCACGACTAACCCTTCTCACCTCCCTTTATCACCTCGCCCCGCTAGTGCAAACGATTCTAGTACGCGGAACGTTATTCCTGGTCTCCTGAAACTACGCTCCAAACTACACGTAGGAGCTTCCAACGTCCGGACACTGTGCCCCCAAATGCCCTGGTATGGCCGAGAGTGGGGTGGGTTCGCCCTCCCTCTCGAAATACTCTCACACGACCACGCGTATATAGCCTCTGCCAGGGAAGTCCTACTCACTGCCTTCTTGTGGCGGGGGTGTTGTTTACGAAAATGAGAGGACGAAAAGAGAACGTCCGGCGCTATAACCGGATCTCAAATCAATGGTGCACATGGGCTCCAGTATCCTGAAGAAACAAATGGCGTATGGACCGATTTCTTGGTCACCGGCTTCCATGGGACTGCATCTCCTCACGATGCTCCACTGCCTTGTGGGTTAGACCTTTAGGTCAAAGGCTCGGGGTGTGGCCCCCTAAGAAAACCACCTGCTTCGATCTGGGCACCCGGCAGTATCTCAGCCCACACACAAAAACTTGATGAAGTCTTGAGGAACAGTCAAATAGGACAACAGGCTTCCTTAGCTAGGACTTTAGAATCTCGCGCCATCAATGTGTGCTGCGTCTCCGAAACGTGCATACAGGATCCAAGTACTGTCATTCATTTGACCTTACCATGTCAAAGTAACGAACCAACTCGATTTACGCTTCGTGTATCCGGAAGCCATAATGCTGCATCCCGTGGCCTCGCTGGCGTAGGTATAGCATTGAGTCCTAGGGCAGAACTAGCTCTCTTAGACTGGATCCTAGTAGACAGTCGTTTGTGCGCTGTCCGACTAAACGGAACAGTAAGGACTCGAAAAGATAGGGACACTTGTCGTTGCCTCTTCGTCGTCTCTGCTTACTCTCGCACTAACTGCAACTCAGATAATGTAAAAGATGAGTTTTACAGAAGGCTTTCCGACCTTCTACGAAAAGCTAGGCGCTCTGATGTAGTAATAGTGGCTGGTGACTTTAATACTCAAGTAGGTAAACTAAGCGAAAAGGAAAAACACCTGGGTGGATCTTATGGTGTCGCGGCTCAAAGAACAGATAATGGCGACCGTCTATTGCAGATATGCTCAGATAACCGCCTGTTCCTCGCAAACATTAACTTTAAGTATAAGGAAAAAACATCTTTTGACATGGTGACCCCCTAATTCATCCCAAAGTTGGACCCAAATAGATCACATCGCTATCAGCCACCGATGGAGGGGCTCGATAGAAGACTGTCTCTCATTCTGGAGCACATGCTTAGACTCAGATCGTGCTCCAGTGCGAGAGCGTATTTGTCTACGTCTTACTGGACGTAGGAAAGATGGTGCAAGGAAACCCCTTAGGGTCCTACTTAATGATAGTCAAGCTAAGAGTATATTTCAGGAACAACTAGAAAAACAGTTAGGCAGCTATGTAAGTGATACCCACCCAAGGGCAGCGTGGAATGACATCCGAAAAGCTGTAGAAACAGCAGTGATGTCTGCAAGTAAGGTAAACCATAAGGTTAGGGAGAAACACTGGATCTCAGCAGCGTCTACCGCACTGATAGATGCTCGAAAACCCATTCCATCTGGCTTTGAACATCAGAATTCATTGCCATCCTATTTTACGGCAGTGAAACATGGCCGGTAAGAGTAGAGGATATTCGTAGGTTACTAGTATTCGACCATAGATGTCTTCGAAACATTGCTCGTATATCCTGGGACCACCGATTAAGTAACTCAGTTGTTAGGAAACGGGTACTGGGTAAGGATCGCAAATCAATTTATGAAGTACTGAAACTGGGACATGAAGTTACTGACAAGTGGACTGAATGAGCCATGTTGGTAAATGTGGACTACTTGGTTAGGGACCGTGAGGTGATAGCAACCGATGGTTAGAGATCTTGAATGACATGGCTGAAAATCGTTTGCAATGGCGCAGATGGATCCACTCTTTGTGTTCTCTCAATCTCCAATCTTTTGAATTCATGTCCTTTATTTTCTTTCCAAATTTATTCCACTGGATTATACTCCTTAAATAACATCATTAAACCCTAATGTTCCCTATCACTACTTATACTTTCACTACCTATACCGCTACGGGATTTGAATCGATAAGTGCATCTCTGTGCTAATGTGGTATGGCAACTCGAACTGATGTACGTACGTACGAAGTTCCACGTTGTTACTGACTGACTGAACAATAATAAAAATGTCATCTACATACTGTAACCCGACTTTTGGCGGATTTATACATTTGTGACCACAGTGGTTTCTGGGGAATGCATGAATAAATTATTTACAGTCGGAGAAACTGGTGAAACCATTGTCACACCATTCACGAATACAGTTTCTACCGTTATTAATTTGGTACTTATCTTGATAATTTTATCTTGCAATGATATGGTTTAGTAGCTGGAATCGATGTACATATGTGGTGCATACTATTTATGCTGACAGATATAAGTAGTATGTGGGAGCAGTTGAATATGGAATGCCTGCCAGCAGAAGATTGAAATAAAGAGAACAGGAAGGGATACAGAGAGCAGTTTTAATAACAGAATTGAAAGAATCATGAAGCATGTAAAGGACAGCTGAAGGAGGATGTGCGAATAATGTATTTAACGTATGGTTTTCATATTTTGTGAACTCTGTAAGTTTGCATAGGATAATAAATTGGTTTTTCTCACCTGAGTTTTCGTTTGCTACACATACATGCCAGGTTCTAAGTTGTTTATAACTAACTGACTAAGTGATACAAGATCGCCATGTCGATCAGTCATAATCAATGTAGAGCCTCCCTTAAGTGCGGACTCACCTAATGTGCCATACTATAACACTACGAAGTGAAAATAACAAAGAAACCAAAATGAGGTAGTAGCAATGATGACGAGAGAGATTGAAAATAGGGAATATGACGCAAGAAGACAAGATGAAACATAGGGATTCAAGGCTTAAAGATAAATGGTGAATGGATCTGAGTAACTATGACTAATTCTGAGTCAAGTCATCCAACGTTTCCAACTACTGGTCGCAGTTATTGAGCGAACACCAACCAGGCAATCTGAATCTATTAACATGGCTCAGATCAATAATCAATGGCTCCAATCATCAACGCTTATTATAATTTTCAAGGGAAAAGTAAGGAATGATATACGTCGGAAACACAAAACGTAACAACTGTAATTTCGAAACCCAACGCAAGTCTTAATGACAAATAAAAGTACAATATAAGCTACTAAAAAGTTTGAAAGTAATTGTAATCTTCAACTTCAAGTTTTTAGCCTACTTTCCTCATCAAAGATAGTGGTTGTTGAAAACTTTAAATGTAAGAAAGCCTGTTGGGTTATTCATCGCTTCAGAAATAAATTGTCAAAAAACTGGTAAACTTTAAAATTCATGATTTTACAGTAAATGATCATTTAAAAAAATTGTGACATCTCGTCACCAACTGAGGTGGTTGGGTGAAGTGTTACATATGGCCAAACACCATGTACCTCGACTGGTGATGTTATCTGGTGCAGCAATAGGCTGGGAGGAAGCTAAGTGTGGCCAAATTAAAACATGAAATCAGTTCATCAAGTTACCGAGAGTTAGACCGAACCATGTTAATAGGTGTAGACCACCTGGTTTGAGTCCGTGTGATTATCATAACCAATAGTTAGAGACTTTGAATGACAAGGCTCAAAGTCGTTTGTAATGACGCATGTGTATTTGTTCTTTGCGTTCCCTTGAATCTTCTGAATTCCCCATAACATTATTTGTTTTTATTTCACTAATTTACATCTTTTCGACTCGTATTTTAGATGAGTAATTTTTCCTTTTACCATCAATACTATTACTACCTCTAATATTCGGGGATTTGACCTGACAATTCGATCTCTTTGTATTGATGGTATACGGAAACTTGAACCGATGTACATTCGTACTAGGTTCAACGTTGTGACTGACTGTCTGAATTAAAAATATCTCTTGGTTAGTGGATTTTTCTGAGGTAATAAATTTAATGACATCTAAATAACTTAGAAAAACGTACAAATTATTGAGGATTACGTTAAGCTACGGAAAACTCACTAAACTTTCTGTAGAAGGACCAAAATCAATATTGACATGCAGTTTAATATTGCAATAATAATGGATTACAGAATCATGTGGCGAAGCAGTAATACCTATACCTCCGCTTGACAAAACAACATGCTTTAATAAAACAGGGGGATTTGTCGAATGTTGAGAGACTACAGGAGGTGATCCACCATCTGCAAGTCGAATATTAGGTTGAGGTGCAAACAAGAGTCCACCTGGACGATCTGCTTCCACATTAGGAGGGTTGATGAGTGGTGCACGAATACCAGGTATGATAGGGTGGATTGGATCTTGAACGTTCTGATCGTGGTTTAAATTATCTAAAACAACCGGAGCAGCAGGGTCTACATGGTCTTGAACCTGTTGAGGTAACCGTCTATCCGCATTGATTACCGGTCTATTGTGAATACCAGCAAATCTTGAACCAAAAATCCCTGAATTGTTATTATTTACATTATTTGGAAGATTCGATATCCGAGAAGGTAGTGCCGGATTAGATAGTAGACATGGATTAGATAACTGATTTGCAGCACGTGAAACAGCAATCAAATGTGGAATAATAGCCAGTAAATGAGAGATTAAAGGATTCTTAGGAACAGAAGGATTGGAACCACTAATACAACCTCCAGTTGTATTACTATTCAATGCATTAGGGGTTATAGACGATACACCGGGATTGTCGAACGTTTGAGATAATGTAGTATGTAAAGATGCCAGCATGCTAATAAGTGACGCGGAAAGCATAGTATGTACAACAGGACCATTTAGTGAATTGGAAATAATTGCTGATCGCACTTTGCCACAGTACCGAAGAGGTGAGTTTTCGAAATCACTGACTTGACCAGTCTCCGATAAGGAATTAGTAGACCGACGCCCTCGTTTCACAGATGCAATATTACCAGTACCACCAACAGATGATTTTCTTTTCAAACTTAATCTTTAAAATAAAATTTATTCGATAAAAAGATAGAACACAAAAACTCAGGATGAGAAATCACATAAGAGATAAGTGAAATGATAAATCACTGGATGTACCACTTATAAAGAATGTACCCTGGTGCCATCTAAGTTGTCAACTACACTCGATCTAGTGGCAGGGAGATTTCTAAGAAATAAGGATGGGGGACTTTAACCCTTGTCACAACCGCCCGTTATTAATAACACAAGTTATCATGGATAAAGTAGTGCAAGTTTTCTTATGGCTTGAAGAGTATCAGTACTAATGAAGAAATTTATTAACTCGACTTAACAAGGATTTTGTTTGCTGAGGGCTAATAAATACACTTAAAAAGGTTACGGAAAAGTACCAGTAGGGCCAGGTTTTTCTTCAACCACATCGTGACCTTAATGAAGTAAACTGATGAGAGATACGTACCTTGTAACTCGTGAACCCTCAACTGGTTGGCGTCGTATTATTTCGTATGGAGGCTCTGGGTGTACTTCTTCTTCAGACAGTGTAGAAGAATATTCTAAAAAAACGCTAACTTTATCCAACAGAACTAAAATTGGAACTAAGTAAGAAGAAGGTAACATTACCTTTTTGTAGCTCCTCCAAAGAACAATTAGAATGGTTGGTATTGTACAAAATTGTATCAAAATATGGCAGCACATCTTGACGATCGATATATTTTAGCATCTTTTGCATAGTCCGATGGTTACTTTCATCTATCTGTCCACATCGATACAGATATCGAAAACCAAGCTCTGGCATACTCGTAGCTTGAGTCAGTTTTCTGTTCCAATCTGACTGTCTAGGCATTAGGTCTCGGTATTTGTGCAGGGCTCGCTTGATATCTTTGTCAGAAAGTTTCGCTAAAATCCACCGATATAATTCACCCACAGAAACTTGACACTTCCACTGGCGACAGTAGCGCGGATCTCGTTCAGCAACCGTATTTTGAGTTGATGGCATTTCTGTATAAAGTGAAAAACGAAACACATATTCGTTTACTCATATCCCAAGAGTTTATAGCTTACAAAATAAGATATAGATTTAATTCAATGCTTCCAGTTAATATATTACAGTTTAACAAGGTTCCTTCATAATGGCCTACCTTAAAACAATCAACTATAAGCACAGCTAATCTGATACTTGAGGTTTTGAATGTATTTAGAATTCCTGTGACATTATGTTGAGTTAAACGTTTAGGGGATATACATGACTGATAGTACAGTGAAATCAAAATCTCGTGAGTTTACATACTGAAAAAGGAAGAGAACTTATTCGGAAGTCATAGAGGTAAGCGTCACTGCTAGTTATTGCCGATTTAAAAATGAAGTCGCTAGTTATGTGACAGTATACCTAGAAACTAATAACCTGAAATGCCTGTGAAAAAAAAATATCAGAAAGTTGAATTGCCTTCTAACAATGGAACCTACCTATATAACTTAACTAGAAGGACGCTAAAAAAACCACTAAAATTTATAGACCTCCATAAGCCGACGGGTACAGGGACCATCAAAATTAAGAATCTGTGGTTAATATAGGAGAAAGTTAAATGTATATTTATTTATTCCGTAGCATACGAAATCTTTAATATCTACAGTTCATCTGTTATTATCTTAACGTTAACTGGTTTTTTTTTTATAGAAATCCAACAATTCAACAGGTACTATGATTCGGTCATTTATCAGATTAAAAGTAGTTTTACAAACATTTTTTCAGTTTTCATGATATTTGTATTCAGATTCCCTAGAAGATTGACGAGATTACTAAGAAACAACCGTCTAAGAACTACCCACTAAAACGAGAATGGGGAAGCAAATGCGAACTTTGAGGAAATACGGGCGACATTGACTAGGAAAATTGGATGTTAATTCAGTTGGAATTACGGCAAAAAGTTGCTTTTTTCGCCTACGCTGGGAAAATAATGAGATAGTTTGCCCAAATGTCTCCTATGGGGCGAAAATTTCACAAATCCAAACGCTAGTGACTGTCAAATTGTCCATTTTTGCGCTTGAATAGTCGGGAAATTTACCTTTACCTATATCACTAAATGTGATGGGTTTTGGAGAGAAGCCTCATGGGTCGGCATAAGGTCTGAACTTAGCTAGTCTGGGTATTTTGATGTGCTCAGTAGTTAGTCATGAGCACATTGCTTGCATGTGCATGTCTATAAGGAAGATTAAATACGAAGTGGTAATCCCGTCACTTTTTACACTTGTGTAATAACACCTTATGTTTGAGATAATACAATGATGCTTTTAAATTTGAACCAACTATTCTCACTTAGTTTTTCCTAAGCATCAAGCTAAGAAACTCTTTATCATTGAGGCTGGGCTGAAGAAGCAACTTCTTTTAGTTGGCAGATGAATTTTGAATTATAATCACTTCATGTATATGGGAAAACATCAGCGACGTTGACATACTAGAGGAGGTCAATGTAACAGAAGCCTGGTTTGCCGTAAAATACAAAATGTTTCATTACACTGGTGAGTCACAACAAAAGTTATTAAAGTTACGGTAGACTATTTCGATGCTGCTAAAGACTTTGTGTCTTCCGTGAGCGCTATCATTGGTGCAAACACAACAAAAAGCATCGATGAAAACACAGTGCCGTTGAACATTGTGAATCCTAAAATGTCAGTACATTAAGCCTACACATCATTTTTAGGAAGCCACTGGAACGAAAATACGGCTATTTATACCATTACGTTTATTTGAATGTTGCTAAAATGCAGGCTGGATTCAGAAACACCAAGCGTCCGAAGTTTTAGTTAACTGAAACGATCTGCCACCGGCAGCTAAGTAAGCCCACTTTTATTATAAATATATATAAACAAGTTCAACTGGGATAAAAGTACACCAATCAACTTCTACATCAACACCAACCTACAATCAAAGGATATAACAAGTCATGAGGGTAATTATCTCAACTTTAATAGCCTGTCAAAAGTATGTGCTAGCTTGTAACACCTTTTAGCAGCAATATCAGAATCGTTTGCGGATGTTAAACAACTAATGAAGGTTGTAAACAACACAGAATTTCAGCCAACGGCGAACAGTACCTCTAAGCTGTCGAGGTTTCGTTCCCCTTTGTCAACTGAGGAAGGGTTGGTGACTCTGGAAACATGTTGGGGACAGATTCGTACGATCAACTGTTCATTAGACGATTGATTCAAATTTCAGACAAGCAAGCTGAGTAACTCAGTGAACGACAACCCAAATACATCTCTTGTATATGTTCTGACATACATCCTTACCCCATATTTGTCCATTAACTTCACCTTGCTAGTAACAGTGAATAAGATGAGCCTCAGTAAACTTCGATTATATGGAAGCATTAGTAATCATATCCTGTCCTAACCACTGTCCTGTAGGGCCACTAATATTAAAATTCACATCCTTACTGGTGAGTGGAAAGGGAGTTGGAAAACTTATAGACAGTACAACACATGGTTTTAAAAAATGATATGAGGTCAAAACTAAACAAGCGTTAACAAAGAATGAAGGATAATGTTAGTGATAATTCCAACTTATAAAGATTTCTTTTCATTTCCCAGGCACGACAGGGTATTGTGTGCAACATTACTGTTTGACCCAATTTTTTAATATATGATTAATAAGTAACTTGAATTGGTAAGGTAACTTTATAAAATGATGAACTTACTGATAATTGTCCATCTTTTATCGAAAATCATTTTTGCAATGCACGTATTATTTACCACTTTCATATGCAATATTTGGACCGTTCATAAACTTATACATTTTATTTGTTTAGATGTCAAACGATGACAATAAAGCTTGTCAGTTAGTACGGAGACGTTTAGTCTTCACTGAAATGTTCACGTCTATTCTAATTCTGCTAAATACTAGCGACAAAAATAATTTTATATTCTGCGTTAATTATCATCGTTACTAATGTCCAGTCTCATTTAGAAGGGCAAGTTTCCGGTCTATTAAGGCAACAAGAGGAATAAGTACCGTACGAGCAAAGGATTTTTGAATTTGTCAAACGTTCAAGAGGAAAGTGGATTTGAAAAATTTTCGCCCCATAGGAGACATTTGGGCAAACTATCTCATTATTTTCCCAGCGTAGGCGAAAAAAGCAACTTTTTGCCGTAATTCAAACTGAATTAACATCCAATTTTCCTAGTCAATGTCGCCCGTATTTCCTCAAAGTCCACCTTTAGTCACCTATACATATTTTATTTAGATATGTCATCTTAAGTGCAACAACCTTCAGAGGAAGTACGCTATTACGAATGAATGCTTAATAAGGGTGCAATGTTTTACTATGGGTTAAAGAATATAAATTATAGAACATTATGCAGTCAAAATGGGTGCTAAGAGAGGTTGAATAACCTACGCAGTAACACCACTTTACGAAAATACCGCTTCAGTGTTCAGTATAAATGATAGTAAGTCGGAGAACGTGTGTTAATCCAAGTTCCGCTTGAGAATGTTTACTGCTAGGCTGATACCACTTGGATAAGGCGTTTCAGTCATTAAATACTTGATGAGAGAAAAAACCCAACACTGAGTTTGTGGGGTCGTTGTTTAGTCCTGGAAAGAAAAATTACGAGACAAAATAACACCCAAATCATAAATAAAAATAATAAATACCAGCATAAGGTAATTTCGCGTTCTATGATACGACAAGATGAAATGTTTCAGGCGTTTTAAGCGCTCATCATAAAACAGTTTGGAAAACCCTTCGCTAAGTTTGCTCTTAAACGCCGAACACGCTTGAGCATGTTAGTATGATTAATCAGGTATTAACTGTTTGGAAATAAAGCCTCAGATGTGATCTTACATAGGTGGGATATAAAATCTAAACCTTTCCCTTGTCAAAGCGATTAGATGCTCAGAGAACGCTACTATGCTGGTGAGTTTGATAGTTCGGTTGTGAGACACCATCTGTCTCTGTTCGTAATTAATTATGGAACTAACTATGGCATCTGTCATTAGTATAACTCATCACGGCCCGTTATTTTACTAGGTCCAAGGATAATGATCATTTGAAGAGCAGCTTTCACTGTCACTTTACAAGTCCTATTATCAGTATTTCAGTCGTGTGGTGATGAAAAATATTTCAAACAGTACCCGCAGACTAGATGTAAAAAGAACACGTCAGTGAACCCTCCACAGCATTTTGTTGGGCAGCATTGTTTTTTATTTGTCCCTTTTCCCTGTCATGTATTTTAACCTTTATTGAGGCCTTCAACAAAACCTTATGTCCCTTAGTTTACTTGTATTGCCATTTACTTTTTAACCTTGGTCAATGGCTTACCTTTTGTTGCTTAATTTTAGTGTTAATCTCAATCTTATAGTCAGACAAAAACAAGTTGAAGATATGTGATGAAAAGGGTAGGCAATACATGCACATACACTGATATAAAAATAGTCAGAGTTAATGAGCGAATAATTGACCAGGTCAAAAGTCAATAGTTGAAATCATGAATCAATTGAAGCTAGACCACCATGGAAAACCTGGTAGCACTGGACCGCCGTTTCATCCTAATATGGACTTCTCAGCAGTGCTCATCCACGATCCCGCCACGTACGACATTCGAACCCAGGACCTGTCAGTCCATACCGTACGTAAGGATATTATGTTATGATTACAAGTATTTATAAACATTTTTGTAACTATGTGAAATATAATAAGAATAAATAATACTGTATTCCAAAAAATTTAAACTACATCAAAATTATATCCCTCAATATTGAGGTGTTGGAGATCCTTACATTGCGAATCATCGATGATAGTTCGTATAACTACTGAATTTTTTTGTTAGTGTAGTACAAACAACTTATTCGCCAATGGTACTGAGGCCTAACGGCCATATAACAGACAATAGATTATGCGATTAATAGAACCTCATACATGGTATTCGAACAAATATGCCACGATCATACACTGCTAGAAAACAAATTCCAGAAGATACGTGAAAAGAATGAAAGAAGAG